GGAATCAGCTTCCATGCTGCCCTGTGGAAGAGGGAAGCACAAGCTCGTGCAGTCACCAAGCAAGCCATCTACCCAACTTGCTCCTCTCCCACCTTCCTTTCCTCTGCAGACAAAACAGAGGCTGCCACCCCCAGACTGCCAGAACCTCCATTCAAGCCGTGTTCGTGTGCTTACACAAAGCATTTCACACACTTGGTGCAGTCCCCACGTGCCTGGCAAACAGTTTCTGCTGAGCCTCCTGCTTACACGGGCCATTGTCATCCACAGAACCCACCGCGTAAACACCCAGACTCGGCAGAGCACCTTCAGAGCCACAGACAGCCCTCAACACTCCTGCAAGTCACTGACGAAAAGTTCCCCCTCAGGATTCAGAGCGCTGTCTCGCTTCCACACCCACCACGTGAGAGAGGTTAACACCATTTCTGAATGAAATACGTAATAGCCATGCAGATTTCCAGGAACAAATTCTACTAGAACTACTGCTGTGCACAGGAATCCATTCTCAGGAGCTGCTGGCAAAGCAGGCAACAACTGGGGCAAAATCAAAACGTTTCTAAAACAGGTTTTTTTATATTAACTTGTGCCAAGTATTCATGACCAATCTGGTAAAGAAATAACCCACAATTACAGTACTTCAGGAACATATTTCCAGCAGCTAGATCCCATCTGAAAATAAATCTGGGATGCAGAAATGGCAACAGAATATCATTAGACAACAGAAAGATCTAAAGAAGCTATAAGCTGAGATGGAAGAAGAAAAACCCAACTCCCTAAAACAGTAGCAGTCTGCTTTGACAACACCGTATGTGGGATGCTACTACGGAAAACAAAAAGCTTAAGCCTGCAAGAAAATATTTATCTCCTTCCTATTTTCAGCAACTTCAAAGCTCTAACTGCAAATTCAGATCCTAAGGCTACTTTGCCACTCTGCTAAACACAGGCACAGGCTGTATTTTTAAGTAAGGGGTCCCAAAAATAGCTCAAGACTTATAAATCAGAGCTCAGCACAATACCTGTACTACCAGGGAAATGGCAATAATGGCCCTTGGACTACAGTTCATGCCAGGAGGGCATCACTTACATGGGACAAGCAGAGCACTCCACAGGGGGAGAGCTTCCAGAAGGGCAAAACGAAAACCACAGGGAGCTGCTGCTCCTCCTTCTCATGGCTCTTGCCCCGCTGCCTCATGCCTGGCCAAGTGGACCTTGCCTAAGCCACATAATTCACACCTGCCCGAGCTGTGGACAAGGAAGAGCTCTGGCAACTCTTGCAGGTCCTGCCAACACATCTAAACCAGGCACCAGGGTGTAGAGGATGGGGAAAGGCATCCAGATGGGATGAAGAGGGAGCATCTCCTATTCCCATCACATAGCAGCATTCAAACTAGCACTAACATTATGGTAATCATGAACAACATTTGGGGTTAATTTTTGTTACTACTGCTGTGAGCTAAGAGAGAGAGACCCTGAAGATGGATTTGTGGCTCTGCTCTGGAGCATCTCCAGCAGAATTAACACTGAGCTCTCCCCACGCCGTGGTGTTTGTCTGAACCATTATTCCGCATCACTTACTCCAGTAGGCTGCAGAGCTGCTCACGGAGCTGGAAGCGCAGGCAGCTCCAGAGCGTACCTAAAAAAAGCTCCAAGTACTATTGGGAGGCTTTTTTGTTTATTTTTAAATCACCTGCTTGCATCCAACTGTTCTACGCTGAAGATGCTCCTGTATCTTTTCCTGCAAGAGCCACTGTGGCTTGACAGGACTGGAGCCTAGAGCCAAACCACACCAAGGATGAGGCTGGGAAAGGCAGGAGCGTTTGCCAAGCCAACACAAGACCCTGTCCCCGGCATCTCTCCTCCAAAGCAAGCCACGAGCTACTGAGCAGCCTCGTGACCATGCTCTAGGAACCACCTCAGGACGGAGAGCCGCAGAGAGAGAACCAACAACCTTCAAACGGTTCGAGAGCGGGCAGCCAGCCAGTCAAGCTTTCTCTCTCTCTTAGGGGCTGCAGGGGGGTGGGAAGGGGACATATGAAACATGTCCCAGCGCTGAGCAAATATTTTACTTCTCAGATTCATGATGGTTACTTAATCAATCCCCATTTTAGGGGCCCTACTCAGACACTCAAATTGATTCCCCATCATCTCATCTATACAAAGTAAGGCCTTTCCAAGTATCTCCATCAGATGCTGACTCCTGGTCAGCTCCCTTCGTGCTGGAAAAGCTAGAGGCCCTGAGCATGTAGTGGGACTGGACACCTGACCTGCCCCACAACCTAGACTGTGCTGAAAAAAGGCGAGGAGGAGGCAGGTTCCCACCATTGTTAATATCAACAGGAGCAACAAGAATTGTCTGAAAGAATTTCCTACTGCAAACAAGGCACTGAGGTGAACAAAGGAAGCTGAGAGGTCACAAACTAGAATACGGTCCTGTGTGCACCACCCAGGTCTGCTTCCCTGGTGCAGACAGCTGAGCCAGGCCCAGCCCAAGAAGGCCCACTGAGCAGCCAAAAGCAGGCAAGGAAGCCAAAACCTGTGCCCCTGCCACCTCAGCAGCCCCAGCAGCGCCACACAAGCCCATAACGTCACATTCACTGTGACCAGTGAGTCACCGGCGAGTGAGAGCACAGAAACGCTCACAGAGACAGGGGACACCCCTTTTCTTTGTGCTCATCTCTTGCTCTACCTTCCCATCTCCCTCTCCTTCCTCCCCTCCATGGAAACCAGCAGTCTCTCATTATCAAGTATTTTTAAAACAGATGGGAGAGTGCACTGCACTGTTTTAATCTCTCAGATAACGTTTTCCATGGTTCCCGTGTCAAATTTGCATTGCAGCTTCATTTTCCCTCAATTGTGGTTCGACTTGGAGCAGGGTGTAAATCACTGTTCACATGTTAGTAAACATGAGTCTCGCTCCTGTAAGAGACCAAGCTCTGATTCTGTAAACATTTGGGATAAACACACAAAGAGAAGGGTAGCGAGCCAGAGCCCTCTTCCATGCTCTGATCTACTAAGAACCCATCCCACACTGGTCAAGATGCTGGGAAGTAACCCAGGAGGAAGAAAGGGGTCCCATATCTAGCACCTCTCAACAGTTTCCACACTGCGAGTGGCTTATCTCACACTGAATCCAGGTGACCATGTGCATCCTCCCAGCCTGGGGCATGTTTAAGCACATGCACGGCTTTCATCAGCTGAGAGCTCCCAGGGCAGCTCCCAGCACCAATCCTGCCAAAATACTGCTTATGCATGCCTTTATATTTACATACCCAGAGCAGGCTCCATTAAGGCAAATGAAATTACAGGCAGCGCATTACGCATGTGCCCTCACATCTGTGGGATCAGGGCCTAAAAATGAAAGCCGCCCATCCTACCAAAACACGCCCTGCTCAGCTACAATTAAACACAGACACTTCAGAGCAGTTTGCTCAAGTTATTCTTTATGCATGCTTTTACAATTAACATAATGTCATATCCTGCCAGAACGTAAAAGGTTGTGACTCAGGAATGTTATCATCGTTTTTAAGTCAAACTGACGCGCTTTTGGTTTCATTCCTTTCCTTTCCCCCTTCCTTTAATTCTCCCTCCAACCAGACGCATACCACTCAAGGCTCCACTTAATCACATTCTGTAAGAAAGTTGCAAAGCAAATCTTCACCAGTCTTGCCTTCCTCTACCATGTAATTAAGTGCTTCCAACTCCCTGCCACCCTCCCAGCAACACAACGGCAGCATGCAAAGTGGGAGCAGAGAGGATTAGATAAGAAGGTACACAACACAAAACGCCCCCAAATGCCTCCCCAGCGTCAGCCCACCGTCCTTTCTTCTCTTATCACCCCAAGATAAAACAACTCTTCTCCAAAAAGCACCGAGGGCTCGGGAGGGTGAAGGGTCTGCCCACTAGCTGCTTGCGAGGAAGCCGAGTGCCCTCATCCTTCCCTCTCCCACACGCACATGCTTCTCATGCTGAAGGATGCTTTATCCTGCAGTCAGCCCCACTGGACTGGACTCAGCAGCACACGCACACGGGGATTTGGTTTAACTAATGCAAAACCCTTAGTGGATGCTGCTTTGGGATTGCTCGTAGACTTGGATTAACAAAAAACATGAGAGCCTAAGTGGCAGCACGAGTTTAACATAACAACAAAAAAATAAAGCAAAACACATACTCAGAAACAAACAGCAATCGTGTCTTGCAATAAGCCACGCTCCTGAGCCTCTTCATGTTGTGAAGTTACCACTCCACACAAAGCCAAAAGGCTTGGCAATACCCTTCAGCCTGCCCTAAAAACCAGTTGAAGCCGTGATTTCAATGCATCTTCTTACAACGAGAGACAAACTTCAATTTCCAAGCATGCTTCAGACCTTAAGATCAAGGAATCATTTCAGAAGAAGCTTTACAAATAGCTGGTATAATTTATAAGTATTCTGTTAACAAACATCAGCTCTTATTTTGCTTAGTAGCATAACTTCCCCACCTCCAGTAACACCATTAACCCCATCTCCATACATTTGCTTTGCCACATCAGAGGAACCATACAGCCCCGCAGATCCACAAGCACATAATAAACGCCAAAAGAAACTGTCTCATTCTGGTCACATCTTGAACGCAGACCATTCTCTTATTATGAGAAGGAGCCACATTCAAGTCCTCGGCTCATGGGCAACATCTGTG